TTGCATGTGTCCCTCTCGCCAGTGAGATTAGGCACTCCATCAGCTCCACAAGCCGCACCCTAAGAAATACATCTTTTATAGATAACAATGGTTGCTCACCTCCTTTATTTTATACTTTTGTTCTCATTAACAGAACTTTTATTACTTCGGACTTTAAAATAATGGTCTAATTAAGATTTGACATACTTTTCCAAGCAGAGTTATGATTCGCTTATATTCGTCTGTCAGGGCTCACTCAAACGATGCTGCACCTCATCAATGTCCTCGCTGCTGGTATAACAGAATGACGTTGAGGGAATCCGCAAGCTACTTTTTCCGCGAATAAGCGGTTTTCTAGTCGTAAACGAGTTTTTATGAGCATAATAATAATATGCTAGAAATTTACCAAACCCATATTACGGTTAAGTTAATAAGTGTTTTAGAGAGTAGCTGAACTGTCAATCGAGGCCTAGAAAACTAGCCAAACCTTGTTCAGCTCTGACTAGAGGCGTCAATAACTGATTCCACAAATGGATGCTTTGCTAAGAAACGTGAGTACAACATCGCTGTAGTTGTGTGGCTTTGAAATTGTTAGCTCTAACGCTTTTGGAGCGTTCTGCCTAACTTCTCATCTTCTCCGATTGCAGAGGAGTGCACATGAAAAGTTTGTTTGTAGATAGGATTAAGCAAAGCAGTAGTTCAGATGCTCGCGAAGCTGCAGTTCAACATAGTTTCATGATGATAAAATGGACCTGATTCGTTGAGGTTTTTTTACTGAAAAGTCACCATTAAACTAAATAACTATCCGAAGTGGTTGTTTGACTTCTCCATTTTCACGAATGTGTTCGTGTTTTAATTTGACGTTCTCCAGAATCATTACGTAATAACTAAGATCTGAACATTGAATTTTGAGGTGGATGGAAAAGTTGATGCGTGTAACACTCGTGGCACCGTGGCATCCATTCTTAGTGCTAAAATTGTATCGCATGTGAAGCAGTAACGGAACAACAAAGGAACTGCTATAACCCCGCGGCTGCGAGATAAAGTAGCAACTTTAACGGTTATCTTCTTTATCTTACAATTATCAAGTAATCCAACCATATTAGTCGCTAAAATTAAGACTGATCTTGCTATGAAATGTCCAAGTCGATGTCTTTTTTGAGGGTCACATTTTAGTAAAATCTGCTGGTTATCATTGTACTTAGTCGAGAAGTTCTTTAGAAGATGACGGATTAGTAGGATGGAGCCAAAAGATAAGAAGACATACCTCTGTGGTGTCGTATTCGCGCTGTTCGGGTAAGTGGGTTTTGTTGCACCGTTTGCATTCAAAATGTCTGATACTAAGTTTAAAATTAAAGCATTCTTGTCTGATGCAAGGGGGGCGGTACTACTTGTGACGCCAAATGCTTTGACACGCTTTAATCCTTTCTCTTCAAAAGAAAATCGAAAGCCCCAGGCATGCATTTACACCTGCAAGGCATAATATTCCATGCGGAGTGGCAACCGGCAGCGAACAACGCTGCATACCACTGAATTGGTGAAAGAGGAAGCACCAGTGTAGCAGCCCAGGCTAATAAACTGGTGCTCCCTTATGTAATGCATATGATTATTCTAGGAAGTGGTAAGGCTTAACTCTCAATAGTACAGGAGAGTTTATATCAAGTCTTTATAATGGTGTGAATTCGGTGATGCATCAACAACGTAGCTCTTAATTAGATGAGCAGCGTACATTGCCTCACCTTCCAACAAGTACCCTTTCATCTCTTCTTACGCAAGGTTTATTAGCTTTACTCTGCGATGTCACTAGCTTTCGAAACCGAGTGCATTTCACAATTGCTTACATTTAAACTTGTACGCATTTCTCCCCATATGTTTAGTGGAGGTACGGGGGTTCAAACGCGATCTTAATTTGGATTTAGCACGAGCCCCGTTGATAGATCAACACCTTCTGGGTGTAGGACCTTGGGCTGAAAATGAAAAAAAAAACTGTTAGATTTAACTGCAGGTTAACGAATGTTAGCGAACCTTTGTTTTCACATCGCCTAACCCAATCGGCAGCTCTTCTATGCATCCTCAACCTATGGATATGTTGAACCCAATGTAGCGATGGTTCAGATGGAGTTACCGCCAATCACAGTACAGATGCTTGCAGGTGTTCACATCCGCCAACTGTCTTCCGTATATTCAAAAAACATTTAGCCGGTAGCCAAATTTAAAACCAGTAAATAGAACTAGGGATCACGATCAAGATCTGGAGAGGCATTTAACACCTTACCAGTTTACTTCAAGAGTGGGGTTGGATAATACGACATGTGTTCTTAACATCGCGCACCAACAGTGAGTTGACTACGTGAGACTACCACCATGATTTCAAGATCTCATGGTAACCTCAAAAACATGCTAATTGTTTCCGACACATTCAAACCGGTGATACATGGCCCTCAAACTGGATGTCGATTTTGCAGTGCTGAGGATCATCGCTATGCCAATGACTCTATAGCTCCTTTCATGGTGATGATGACGAAAGATGTAGAAGATGCCCAGTTAATGCCAGGAGAAAAGACGAATGCGTTTACTTCTGAGCGTCATCATCAAAGCAGAAGCGCACACACACCGACTAGCAACCAATCACCGCTCGCGATATCACCGATCGATGCACAGCGCAATCAAACGATTGGCTGTTCAGGCGGCGGATTTATTAAGGTTGTGAATCGTTTCTATTCATGCTCCCTTAAGGGGCTTCACAACATCTGTTTCAAATCTTAAAGCTAGGCATGGATGAAGAATCAAAGCAGTCTGTTGGAATTTTCGTATTCTTGATTTTCGTGCTTGTGGGTCATGTGGCTTGCTGGATTGCATCAGCAGTAAAGGCTGTGATGTAAGCATTAAACATTTGAACTAATTTAGTCGGAGGTTTTCAACCATTCGATTAAATTCAAGATGGCATCAGCTTTTGAACTAGCAATTTGGGCCTTAAAAAATTCTACTTGGAACTCTGAAAAATCCTAAGTATTATTAGAGTTTGTATGAATGTGAGTGTTTTGAAATCGCAAAACTTTTTGGATATGCTCTCACTTTGTGGCCACTAAGGTGACCTGACCACCTGGATAGTTGTAGTTCTTATGTGGATGGCTTTGTCAATCAATTTACTTTTGCCTATCCTTTTGAGGACCAAAAAATGGAATTAGCAAGTCAACAGTAAACACGCTTTATAATTGAGTTTATTTGTTGAGGTTGAGCAGTTCACCCCATCTCTAAGACTGTTGGCTGGTCGAAACTGTTGAACTAACGGCTTCTCTGTCTCAGGATTTAGCTACCTCGGCTCGAATGCTAGGCGTTGCTGTTAACGTAATCTTTGAACGAATCATGAACTCTTGCCAAAATTACCATATGTATGAAATTAGCTTGTATTCTTTATGGCTTTGCCGCCCTTCGAGAATGATAGCAAGACTTTCAATTACTTCTGCGAGCGGTGTCTTAGATGAACAAACCAGTGCAGTGATTGCGTAAACAAAGCGCGATCACTTCAAGCATCGCGAAAAATACTGTCCACACTTAATGGTCAGCATATTGTTAAGTCGCGAGCGGCTCTAGCAGTCAACTTCCTTTCCTCATTTATGTATACACACACATTTACGGTTGCGGTTGCAGATTAGCGTGAAATCGTTACCAAGATCTTGGTGCCGTTGATGGTAATAGGAAATGCTTCCATGACCTCAACTTCACTTCTCAAACTTTAGCCAGTCAAAACCATAGCTGCTTTTGCCATCTTCTCTGATGTGCTGACGAGTTTTGACCACCTTGAATCGTGCATTTTACATCCGGCAACTCCTTATTAGCAAACTATACCTCCTTTTGTATTTGATTCCTTCGGTTAAATTGATAGCTTATAGGACTAGGAAATTAGACGAGGGGCACGGAGTTGGGCATGGATTTGGTGTTTTTCACCATTCTATATTATTCTACATTAAGATGCAGTCCTGTTGACATTGGTTTAAACCTTCTCCCATTTCTTGATCTTGCTATCATCTGAAATGTCGCTCCTCAGCCTGCATGTGAGCAGAGACCATAAATTCTCCCACTCCGATGTTTACGTACACGCTTAAATGCGGAGTTTCAGTTTGTTTGTAAGACTGAGGGCTTCAGTGACATTTTAAAATAGCCTCACTACAATGATGAATTGCGCAAAATGACTGAGTTTTTTATCTCATTGACAGCGGAATTCACTAGTGCGGGGTGGAAATGTAAAAAATAGCTTTTGCAATCGAAAGTCAGCAAGATCTTTTTATCGTTCAAAGTCGTCCAATCTGTTCCATTAATCGCACGAGGCAAGGACGAGACGGTAACTGGAAGTGCTCAATTATGGCCGAAATTGTTGCGTGTCTGTGCGCAGTGATGCAGAACGCACTATTAACTATATCTGGTGACGACTCATTCCTCTCGCATTCCACCTAAGGCACTGTTGGTATTATGGGACATGCTAAAGTGGTCGAGGAATGTTATTTGCATAATGAGTGTGATCAAAGTTAACCAGGCTCAGTGAACGCATGATGGCAAATAGGGGCTTATCCTTAAATTTAAATCAGAAATTGACGTCTTTTTGTTGATTTAGAGATAGGAAAGCCCGTCGGCGTAAGGCGAAAGCATCCAAGGATGGTGCATTGTTGGCGGAGGCACGTCCAAAAGAGTTGGAGGACGAAGAGGAACAAAGCAACGTAGAGCCAACGAAAGTAGGGAACGGAGGACCTAAGTTTGCCATCTCCAGGCCTCAGTTAAATTCCACTTCCACAGGTAGAGCCAATGGTGAACATCACTTTCCCAAGTGCCCCAAGAGACTGCTGTCTGCTGGAAACGCGAAGCGCGTCAGTCCTGAGGAATTGGCTATCATGCTCGACAGCTATGCCATTCAAAAGCCGGAGGTACAGCAAGTCGACTCTGCAGCACGGTCACCAGCTCGCCCGACGGCCAAAGGAATGCCAACATCGAATGTTGGTACTGTTAATGTCTGAACTCGAGATTCCTTAAATTGCCTTTTCTGCATGTTCCTTGTTTTGTCTTTCCGAACTCCAACAATTGGCAAAACTCGCGATTTTTAGATTTCAATTGTGTATAGTTAAAAAGGCTATCAGATTTCGTTTTGTTCAAACTTACCTTAAGGAAGTGATCAGTCTCTTTCTGCACTGCTTTTCAACGCAAAGTCATCATTCTCATCTCCACTTTTTTGCAAGCAATCCATTGACACACTATTCAACGAATTACTTCATGAAACCAGAAGGATTTGCACAAATAGTATTTCACTTGTAGTTTTTAATACTTTTTTTTGTGTATAAGTTGTTGTAAGAAAATACGTGTTTCTCTCACTATTAGTTGCCTTGTAAGCATTACAACATGAATGCTTTCCTCATTGCGCCTCGAGATCATGCGTATTTCGAAGTACGCTTGGGATCAACTTGCACACTTTCCATAATTCACATTTCGCTTTGTCACATCCATCACGATTTTCGAGGTACACTTTTTTTTTAGAATAAAATTCTCTGCGTTTCACTTGCTAAGGTTATCTTTAAAGGGAGTTATTGCATTGAATGTGGAAATCATGAGTGTTTTTTTGCATTTGTGGTTGCTAAAATGAACTCTCCTAATAAAAGTGGATTGCTGGATCTCTTATGCCCTTATTTATATCTGGAAGGAGGAATACGACGAAATGGTTTATTCGCACCTGCATCTTCAAGTAAGTGTGACTTGTAGTGAGGCCTGTGTTTACTACAGGAGGGCGGATGCTTGTAGGGCAGCCGTCATTTTTGTCCCTAAATGGTCCTATTAAGGTCACTTTTCGCCGCCAAGTCGGCCTTGAGTGAGTACGATGTGTCGCTTTCATATTATCGTACCATCCGGTCTAATTCCTCCACTCAATGCAAGTCTTTTAGGCGGAATGAATGTTGCACACAACACGAATCAAGCACTTAAAAGATTGTCACTGTAAGCATACATTTCTAGCTACAAGGCATGAGAGCGGTGCCACTGAGACCTGTCACGTGTTAGTATGAGGCAGAGAGTCGCCTGATTGTAGTCCGGCAACAACATCAGGAGTGTGACACATTCTTTGCTCCTTCGGAGCCTCACTTTAAAACTAAAGTAGACAAGGTTATGCAGAAGCTTCAACCTTGCAAGTATTTGCAGCCTGCACTGCATTATGCAGACAGTTATAATAAAATGAATGTTTAAGCACCTCGCCAGTGATGTGAAATGCTTTTTGTCCTTCGAATAATGCGGAGACGCCCGTAAAAACATTCGAATGCATTTGTTGACAAATAACCTTCAGGTTTGGTTTAGGCATTTCATAAAACAGGATCATAGACTTTACAATGCAAACAATAACTGATAACTCGAGAATTTCCAATTTTGCAAGTAGCCTAAGAAGTCGAAGTCACTTATTTTCGACCAATACCAAAGAGAAGCGAGTTCTTGCAATGCTTCTATCTTTGGAATAATTTATTCATAATTTCTCTTTGTAACGAAATATCGGCAGATTGACAGAAATTAGTGAGGATCAACAATTAATGTTGCAATCACAGTGCGGAATGGAGACAACTTCAAGCGAATATGCACTTATCACGAGGCAATTTCTCAATTAGGCAGTGGCGCAGCGGTACTACTTTGACCAGCCCATAGGCAAGCGCCTTAGAGAAGGGAAGGCGCAGAACCTCTTCACCCCATTTGTCACCATCACCACCGGTGCGAACCACGTATTCGGCGGTGCGTCGGTCAAGGCGACCCGTCTCCACGGCTCGGTGGAATGGGATCCAATTGTGCTTCTGCCGAATCAGCTTTCCTCCACGCTCAATCACCTCGCGCACCTGCTCCACCCGATACACCAGAGGGTGGTAGACTGACTTTACTCCACGCCACTCCGATCTAGAAAAATAGCAATTTGCAGCACAGTTGGAGGCTTTCCGATGAAAATGGCTCTCTTCTCAACACATCCCTCTTTATCAGGGGCAAATACGGGTGCTGCTTTTTGTTAACTATGTATGCGCATTATTAAAACACTTTTTTATAAAGGCTCAACAGAAGGTCAGGGCGAACTGCTGATGTCTCACATGGTTTAAAGATATGGGAAACGCTAAATACAGGGCTAATGCACTAGAGGCATTGCAACAAACGAAATTGGTAGACACCGGATGGAAACTGTTTACATTGCTCGTAATAGTGACGATGTTAATTCATTGAGCTTACTTGTTGCGCATAGAATTCGTTATCTCTTGTCTGGATTTGGAGTTGGAGTGTCAAATATAGAACTCAGAGGGGGTGTGGGTTTGGCTTCATGCTTGAGGACAGGCTTTTATCAACTGCAGCTAAATGGTAAATTGGACTTGTGCCATCTGTATAGCAGTGTCTCATGGTCTACAATAAAGTAGTTCGTTAATTGATCATTTCACTTCTCAGAAGAGACTACACAGGTGTTGTCTTCAACAAACTTTTCACTAATCCGCCATATCTGCTCAAACCTCTTTATTGAAAATTGTTAACATGGTCGAGAACTAACTTTGCATATTCATCAAAGACGATACTCTCAGTGGCTGAAGAGTCGTAGTGAATGATTCCATCCTTGAGAGCTTGACAAAAATTGAGTTTAGTGCCGTGAGCTGTGTCGTAAACAAAGAATCGCTCTTTTTGCTCATTTTCGCTCAGCTTTTCCTCCGCCTCCTCTGTCCCCGTGTCACCGCCCTCGAATCCAGCGATACCGCGCTCGATAGCAGCGTGGATGGAGACGCGCTTGCGGCGCCGAGTGTCCAAAACGGTGGTGATGCGCTCACGGAAGCTTGGTCGCATTATCACCACGTATCCAACTTCAGGGCCTGCGTCCATTCCTCCGACTGCAAGTGACAAGTGCACCAAATTCACTTTATTGCCTAACACCTAGTCTATCGAACAAGTGTGCCGAGTCAGTCCCTGAGGTTTGTTTACTTTTTCCCTGTCAAATCAACAAAACCTGGTATGCTCTCGTCATTTTGTTTGCGGTTGTATCCACATTTTCATGGGTTAGTTGATGGCGCAAACAGCTAGCTCGTAATGTCCACTATCAACTGTTGAGACTTTTAATACCAATAAATTTTCAGAAAATGATTCGATCCATCAAACCATTTTGCCTAATTGCTACTAAAGAAACACAGCTACTCTTCCGTGAACCAAGTTTTAAATAAGCATGGGATGATAATAAAGCTCAGCTTCGAGAAGACTGCGCTCCACTTCAATTTCTCTAAGCAGATTAATTCATTCGTTTCATGTTTTGTTTAAGCATCGTTTTTGTAGGTTAGAGAACAAAGAATAGGGAGATTTATCTGCAAAAAAAACATTGATTGTCGAATATGAGTGAAATACTAAGTTTGCTAAAAACAATAGGCAAATTAACAGGTGAACAAACTTCGGTTAATGTTATTTTTAAAGTCTCTCATGTTGACAACTCAGAAGGCAGAGCAGATGCGGCTGAAAGGAGTTAATGAAAACAGTCATTTCAGCAACTATTTGCCTATTAAGCCAAATCAAGTGAAGTGCTGAGAAGCTGAGGTGAACAGTCAGTTTGATGGCTTCGTTTAACACACATGCCTCAGAAGGACCTGATAAATGCGAGACGCCAGGTACTCTGGGAGGAAGAGTTCGCGTTCCATGCTGATGGGAGGAATTATACACTACCACATGCACATGCAATGTTGTGACTCGTGAAATTCATTGCACATTACATCTGATTCCTGCCATCATAGACTTACATATGAATTTGAAGGAAACAAACACAGCTGCGCAAATAATTAAGGCAAAACATGAGCATTTAGGAGGAAAATCTACGAAATCAGTTGGCAGATGACCATTTGGAGCTTGATAAAGTGGTGCACGATAGAAGGTTCCCACCTGGATGAACGACGGCAAGTTTAACGGGTGGCGACTGCTTCATCACTGGTAGTGGGTAGGAGGTGCGTGGGAGAGACTTGGAGCCCTGTCCAAAGGAGCGTGCGCGTAATCTTGAGCATTTGTCGAGGCCCTTCAGCGAGAGGTCCGCCGATCGGTAGCGTCCGCTGTGTGTCAATGCATGCGCATGGTGCCGTCGACATGCCATTGCATCAAGGATGCAGGGCTCGCTGCCGTATTGTTTATCTATTCTCTCCGCACTCTCTAGTTTCTTTGACAGACTGCTTGTCTTCTGTCGGAGCGGCGCTGGCGGCTTGTCGAATGGCGGTGGTGGAGACAGCAAACTTGTCTCACTCATCGCACACTTGAGAGGCACGTCGAGTCTCCCCTCTTTTTGATAAGATTAATATTTTTAGCCACCAGTTACCCCACTTGGCCAAAATTACTCACTCTCTCAATCTCAATTATTCAATTATTTTGCCCTTTTATTTTAGTTCTTTCATGAAGCCTTATCCCCTTCACACAGCTACCCACTTTGAGAAAACGAGTAAGCAATTACCATAAGTATGATTACCGCCAGTTGCTTTCTATTTCCCACAGCTTGTTAAAATCGTTATGCTTTAGCAAGTGATGTGACGAGACACTGAGTGACGAGTTAATGTAATGCGAACTATTGCTTCTTGTTAGTTGCTTATTGTTTTCAGCACTCAAGTGTGGAATGAAGGGATATTTTGCACCCACTGCAACGATGAGATGACATAACTCCCGACACGATGAGGGTTTTACTGTGTGACAGGCCGATACTGCGGCAATTCGAGAACGATTAAACGCAGCAGTCTCTCATTCCTTCGAGGGGCAGGAGTTAGCCACTGTCTTGCATAGGTGAAATAGATGCTAACATTGCCACAGAAGTTGTGGCTTCAGCATAAATTTCCAAATGGATAACACTGGTGAACCGACAATAGTACAGTCATCACAATTTGCTATCGACTTAGAGGCATTTTATAACCACGATGATCAAGCTGTCAAACACCAAACACAAATACATCCCTTTACTGCGTGCTGAGCGGAGACTCGCATGTCGTGCCACTTGGAACACCTCCTGGAATGGTCAAAACATTTAGCTGATTTGAATAGATTCGTTTTGATTGTTGCTGAAGATACAAGTTGTAGGATTTTGCCAAGTAAAAAATTTTTGAGATGCAGATGCGATCAAAAATGTAAAGCCCATGATGTTTCATTTACCTGCGTCTATGCTGGCAAAAGAGTCCAAGGATCCATGTTTTTCGTTTTCGTCAGGTGTACAAGATGTTTCCGTATCTTTTGACTCGAGCTTGATGTCCAACAATTGCTCACAAGGAGTATCGGATGGGCTAAAATGCATCCTTTTTTATCTTTCAACAATTCAATTTGTTAAACGTGCATTAACTTATACAACAGTCATTCAGAAGGGACAAATATTAGTCAAATGAATCTTGAATGTTTATCTTCAGTGTTCGATACGATTATTCGGAAGGTTTGCATTACCAGCGAGATTTCAATTCCATGACGCATAAGCATGCCATCAGAGTGTCATCGTAACAAGGTTTAAGATACAGCTCTCAGTCCATCGCAAAGCCATAAGGCTAGAGGACAGGCTTACCCACAGCATCCCCCTAGCTGAAGTGGCGATCCCACATTAGATTTCGGTAGACCTGCCTTGGCAGCCTCAAATGCCTGCATCATCATCTAAAAACGAGAAGCAATTTATGAGACCAAGACGCATCCTACTGATGAGCAAGGGAAAATTGACTTGGCTTAATCAAAACGTGCTCTGGGACATTCCGGTTTTGCTTTATACATCACTTAGCATCAGGTACTTTTCACCAAGTTAGTAATAATTCAGCCAATTGCATTCAACGCCTCTTTCCGTTTTTAAATGATTGCATTGTAAAGCTACGTTTTCTTCCCTCTAATAAAGTGTGTGATTAACTGGCTAGTGTTAGTGTTATATCTGCTTGGATGGTTAAATTGTGCCTCTAGCCATTTAACTACATTGTGTTTGTGTACCTGATGCTGCTCCAGCAGACGAAATATTATTCGTCGTTCCAGCATTAATTGTCCAACCCGTTCAGTCCTTTCCTCGTCCGTGACTTCTTCAACTGGATGAAAAATATTTGAATGTAAGACAAACGGTTCGACTCAATATTTAAAATAGACTCAAAAATTCACCTTCAGCTTGAGATTTTTCGTTTGTTGGGCTATCACCGCACTGCAGTAGGCGAAGTTGCTGCAAAATTAGCTCGTAATGTATTTCGCACTCCCAATCATTACTGAGGCTGCCTTCGAGGGATCTGAAGAAATTTTTCAAACTGTGCTTCATATCACCGTTGATCGTCCCATAGTCAACATCCATCTATCAAAACGATGCGTTGTAATTTAGCATTTAACCGTGAAAAGTAAGGGGGACTGCCTTACCTTTTCCTTACTCCAGTGTCTCAAGGTAACGTAAAGTAGGTTCATAACGGCTTGGGCAGTCTCCTTTACGTAATCCTCCCAGACGGAAAGCACATACTTGCGTGTATCTATGGCTTTTTCCACCAACTTCGCCTTCAAATTGAGAGGCTGAAGGTAAATCAGTGGGATCCAAGTTCTGATTTGCTGACTAATTTTGGGACTATCCTGCTCCCGCTTTGTCTGGCCTTTTGCTCGACAGGAGTCGCACGTCTGACTTGAAGTGCCTGAGCTGCGGTGCTGACGCTCTATGGACGACTTGAGGGTGCTGTAGAGACCGAACTTCTGACCAATTTGTCTCTCCGTGGTATAGGCGCGCCCACTCACAAGTGCATTTCCACCTTCGACGTCAACTATCCTTACAACCTCTTTTTGCTTTACAAGACCCTAAAAACCCATTCAATAATGGTCACACATTTGGTCACATTCGTGTTATTAACATAATTGAATTTAACGCATATGGAGATTATGGGAGTTAATGAGTATTGAGAAGAAAGCATGCAAAGAGATTTGGCCATGACATATTGGCTATCTCAAAAGAATATCAACTTGGTTTATGTTTATGCTTAAAACTGGCAATGCTTGACAGTTTTCACCTGATTGCTCTCAAAATCGTACAGAACCTCTGCACAAGGCACTTGCTCATTGTTTTCACCATCTTTTGTTGGAGAGGTCACAAGAAATCGTTTGTCGATGGTAGACATCCAGCTGTTGAATTTCATTTGATCCGCCTATAATTGTACAGACAACTTTATTGACAGGCATAGCAGCTTCTTAATTCGCTCCAAGGGACGCTTGTTTTGTTTCAGTTTCTTTTTGCCCTCTCCTTTTTAAGTCAATTACACGAGCCTAAACTTCATTTTAGCCATGGTGGGAGCATTGGTTTGCACAATACTTTACATTGTCACCAGTTTGCTTTGCATGAAGCTGAACTTTCGCTTTTTCGCATCATCATGAAATTATTAACTAGAGGCCTGAAACCAACTAAGTACTCAACGCCTAAAAAATCAGTTATCTTTTTCTATTCACAAGAGTCGCCGTCGATGCTCTTGGAACCACACTTGCCCTCCTTCAACGAGGCTTCAAAGTAACCATCAACTATTGTGCTCCAATAGGTGCCGAATTCAGAACTTCATTTGTGCTTTCCCTTGCACTAAGATGCGTTGGAGACTCACAGAAAGAGCGTTATAAAACCTTGTAGATCTGTCGATATAATCCCATTTCGCGAGTTCATCCCCAGTCTCTTGCGAACTGAACGGCAGTGGTGAGTTCGTCGATACGGTCATCTTTAGTTCGTCTAGTTCTTGCGACATCTACGCAGTCGTATTTAAGGCAGTTACAACAAACTTGTAAAAAGGACTTTGCATATTGAATCTTCAACTTCAGACACTCTGTCATATCCTGGATTCGCCGTAATGTCTTCAGATTCTTCTAGAAAACCGAAAGATATTCATAGATAACTACGTTGAAGTCGTGTACTCTAATAGTAGCAGGCAACTTACCTCGCAATTTTCCTCCCCCACCAGCAAGGTGTCGATAACTTTATTTGTCCACTAAAATAGAGGTCGTGTTTGAGAGCAATGGAATGCGGACACTTACAGAAAATATTTCGTCGACGGTGCCCATTTTTGAGTCAATCTCTTTGTTCTGCGATAAGTTGATCCTGGTCCTGAAATTGTCGAAAAAAGCACAACTATTCATAATCTTTCGACACAAAAGACCATACTACTTTGGAAAGCAACTTAAGAAACGCTTTCATAGTCAAATTTCTTCCTTTACTTAAGAAGTACCAACCTTAGCTTAATTTAGACACATTCGGTTTTTCAAGCCACTATCATGTCTGTCTGCACTTTTGAGTTCCTAGATAATTGTAAAAGTTAGTCCCAAACCTTCTATCTGGTTCCACACTTCATTCAGAATAACCTGGCCGCATTGCTTGAAACACAAGAAATTCTTTTCCTACACCGTACATATGTCAAAGCATTGTGCTAATTTTCTCTTCTCCTATTAAATAAGTCAAGAATCTGTATGGAAAAATAAGTTCTTAATTGAATTGGAAATGAATGTCTTTCGAGGAATTGCACCCCAATGGAGTAAAGATTGCTCGTGCATCATCAGCTCATACTCCTTATAAGAACGGGTGGCATGTTTGACATTAAAAAATCTTTGAAATGCAAAAATCCACAGAGGTTAAAATGGGCATTTACAGTACAAGCAGATCTTGTACACAGAACTTACTGGTGTGTGCAATTCGCCTTAGATTCGATGGCAAGAGTGAGTCCTGGTTGCTGGCAGCTCTGAAGGCGTTGTGTCGGTAGAGTTCTTGCGTGAAGTGAATCCTGCATATCAAGTCAGATTTAACAAATTTGCATTTTGGCTAAAAAATTTAATTAATGCAGTTGCGAGTGCCTTAGCAGTCTTTCACTGAGGTACAGAGAAGCGGCGCTGCCTACCAATTTCCGTGTCAACTAATGGCACAAGCACGTCGTCCAGCAATCAAGGCTGATTTGCATAAACTCTCGCGCAACTACATGTAAATGCCTCTCACTTCCCCCCTCCCTCCCTCCCTCCCTCCCTCCCTCCCTACTACCGAATGCGCGCATTTTATTGCTCATCAACATGCCCCTTTGATAAATTACCCAACTCTCCAAAGGCATTGCCTTTCTCTCATACGTCCACCTCGAAAAATTGACCAAGATTTTTATCAAATGAATCCATTTCGATGCCATGCCAAGACGAGAGCAGTATATTGCAAGTACGTGTTGATTTTATTGGAGATTATTAAAGCCGAAAAAGGAAATTGAGGAAACTGAATGTAGAGTACAAAGAATAATAGGAATCATCACTTCTCATTGAGTTGCATGAAATGTAGGATGGTTGATTTATCCTCAGCTAAGAAGATGAACAATTGTGGCCAAAGAATAGTGGAAACTCGACCTGAATTTGTCATGTGCTTTAACATGAGGACATCTTGCTCATGGCTTTGCTGCATAAGTCCTGGGTTATGTTTGGAGCCTCTTATCCACTCTTTACATGGTGTGTTCGTTTATTCTGTTTTGAAATGTGACAACTTTTGCAGATTCTCAAGGCACAGCACTTGTGGCAGGGTCATGCGGACCCCATCAAAAATGCGAGCATTATCAGTTCTGTGCCTGGTGGTTAAATACCAGATTGCCAAGTAATTGCGTCAATCGCGGGACCTAAAGTGCTAAGGTAGCCCATCATACTCTTCGTTGTTCTCTCCGGCTAGTGAATAGCTTAAACCCAGTAAGTTCTCCTTCTCCAGTACAGACAAAAAAAAGACGGAGCTCAAAATTACAGATAAGCGTTGTCTTCGTAGCGGGACAAAGCAGTAAAAATCACTGTTGGAGAGTAATCGAGGCAAGCTGCAGTACTTTTATTTGTTTGGCCGTTTTCTTTACGGTCACTTAGCCGACCTTATTGCCATGACTGAGTAAGTTGGGATCTGGACCATGTCAAAAGCCCATCTCTTCTTCCCTTCTGCTGAACACAAGTGTTCCACTCAAGTATGTGTCTTCATGGCCCTCAGACCATGGTGGTGCCGTCTTTGGCATAAACCATATCAACAGTGGTGTTTTTGATGCAACTTTTATGTAAAGACCTTAACGAATCCTGAGAACGCTGCATAAAAATACCGTGAAACGAAGTAGTTCTTTGGTTATGCCTTGTGAGCGGAAGGCGGAGAGTGAATTTAAACGCAATCTCATTGAAAGATGCACACCTTAGGATGTCTTCCCACCAATCACTTAAATTACCGACCCCACTATGCTCCTTCTACCAAATAAAGTTCTCTATAATCTTAGATTCCTTAGGCGTAATCTATCAAGACAAACAGAAGAATGAAAACGTCACAAATACAAATAATTAAAGTTTAGTGTTAAATTTAGCTGGGTAGTACTACGAATTGATTTAAGTTTGGCAGTTTAATTAGTTATAAGTGTAATCTCTGTTGTTAATCTTGTTCATTAATAGTAGGTTGCATATCAAGGGTTAGCTACGCACCATGTTCAATCTTCGTTGGTTATCAGGAGGGTATACAGAAGTCACGTTATTATCAGAGGCAGGGCAAACTTTCCAAAGGAAATCAACAGCAAACGCGTTTAGAAAGACGATAATGAGGCAACATATACCCAGAAATGCATACTCAATATGCTAATTAGATAATCACAAACTTAATAATGAAAGTCCCATGTACTCGGCATACTTTTTGAGCCTAAACTTCATGAGTACGCAATGCTAAATCAAGATCTGAATTTGGCAAGGACTTAAAATCTATCCTAACTCATGCTTACCGAGCTATAGGAACATCTTAAATGCAAAGTATTTCATAATTGAGGCACAAAGGAATTAAGACAATGTTCTGAATAAACATTACGCCATACCATAAGGTTCCGTGCGTTTAACATGTTTGTTTCATCATTTTAATTAATGCCAAGGCCATACCATCCCAACCTAAGTGTACATATCGGCTCAAATTGGTCGAGCACTCTGTCTCAATGGTTCTTTCCAAAAGAATACAAACGCAATCGGATATGGGGGCGTGGGCAGCATCACTTGCTTATGCAAGCATAATTGATTTTATTGAAAGTGTAAATTATGCTGTAAGAGCAAAACTTATCAATGATAGACAAACAACGTCATCCGTACGCAAAATATGCTAATGAATTTGGTAGAGTGTTTCAAAAGTGGTTGGCCTTCTAAATCTCTTGGATGCTCAGGTTGAGCTGACACCGCTAGAGATTAACCCTCAGCGCTATGGAAACAGAGCTTTTCAGAAGTACTATTCTTGGCTGTGCGAAAATGCGTCCCACATCTGTGCGGGAGTTTTGGAGATTGAACCGTCTACTGGTGCGTATGTCTTTATTTACAAGCATGACATTTTAAAGAGAACTTCGACGAAGTTATCACATATCTTACGGAATCTGTTGGCAATCCTGTTCGTATTGACTATGGCACTGGTCATGAACTTTCATTCATAGCCTTCTTGCTTTCTCTGTTCAAAATTGGTTATTTGAAGCAAGTGGAACGTGTAGGTCGCGGCCTGCAAGGTGGATCTTCGACGGAACTCAATGACTATGCTGCAACAGCTCTCTATATTTTGCCTGCTTACCTCAAGCTTGTGCGTCATTTACAGACCTATTTCAGAATGGAACCGGCCGGTTCCCATGGCGTTTGGAGTCTCGATGACTTTCAGTTTGTTCCATACATCTGGGGAAGTAGTCAGCTCATTGGTATGCCACACTTTTCCCATTTTCACCAACAATTAAAATCATAGGCACTGGCCTCTACGAACCGTCAGCTGTACCCGATCAAGAGATTGCTGAAAAGGAGGCTAATTCGTGCCTTCTCTTTTCTTGCATCAACTATATCTTTCAGGTAAAGACGGGGCCCTTTGCGGAGCACTCCAGCTGCCTCCAAAGTCTCAGTAGCGTGCCGAGTTGGGAGAAGGTTAACTCAGGAATGATCAAGATGTACAAAGGAGAGGTATGCTCCAGCATTCCAATTTTCTGAATTCACCTCTCATTCGCTTCGTTTATCTTGCCAGGTTTTGAACAAATTCCCGGTGGTACAGCACTTCCTCTTTGGTAATATACTTAAGTTTGAGCAGGCTTTATCCACTCCGGACGCAGGACCGCCGGGGAGGTTCCGCTTCCCAGGCACTCCTGGTTTCGGACACTGCCTTAGTACTCGTCCTCGACCGCCCTTCGTCAAGCCCACTGGAGATCCATAACCTGTTGTGATACCCCCTCCTCTTACAGTTAACTAGAATTGAAGTACTAAAATCTTGAAGGTTTACTCCGCCTAAAAATGTAATAAAATATTATGTTTACAAAGTAATCAAGTCATGGAGGGACAGTCGATCTTGAAAACGTGCAGATTGTTGTTACAAGCAGTACATCGTGGTAGGAGTTCTATCTGCCCTGCCCTGAGAAGTGAGTTGCCAATTAATTTGCTTTCGTTAGCCAGATTGGGGTCGTCAGTGATCTCCGACTTGTTTTCAGTAAGACAGTTTGCTGTGTGGAAGGAGTCTCTCAAGGAAATTCTCTTTTCTTCTTTCAATCGGAGGAGGCAATCTAAATGCATTGCGCGTCGGCAACCAGGAGTACCACACTATAATGACAGTGAGAATCTAAACTTGGTTCACCTCACTGACTAGAGGTCTTTTTGGCCCTTGGGAACTTACTCGTCTGAATTGTGTTAAATTGTAAGGCCAAATCGGTCTAGACACGTCCTTGCAGATATCGCAGGACAATACCCATGCTCGGCAGCCAGAACAGGAGGATACGTGAGTTAAAGCCACTCGAGTAACCACCGCTTGTATGTGATCCTCCAGATCGCCACTTCGTATATCCAGAAAGTCCTGTACACTAGATTTATTACTTACCAGTAAATCAACAGCGTAACAAAGTCAAAAGTCCGATGTACCTGGAAAGAGTACCTATCAATTGTGCCAATGTTATCCAGCATGTAGCCGCGATGCTTCAAGGCCAAAACTAGATCACGAGATGTCGCTTTGGAGCATCTTGACACTAGGGACCAAAGGAGAGAGAGTGTTCGTCGCAATAGTCGTACGTTCGGTAGCTCCGGAACCCACGCAAACAGGGAAGGGTTTACCAATCCAATGTCAATCAGTGGATGACACGAAATGGAGTCAAGAAACTTTTTTGTAGCAAAAGACACTGCAATAGGGACACCTTGAGATAATCAACAGTAAGCATAAGTGATAGATTCAAAAACGATGATAAACCTGGTTTAGGAGTGAAGTCCCAGCACTCGATGATGTCGCGTGGAATCACAGCCTCTTGTCCTTGGTGGCAATTAGAGCAGTAGAAGTTACCATCAAAGAAGTCAAGCGTCGCATCATCTAAACCATAGGTAGCAAAGCATTACCTAATCAAAACAGTGGGGCACCATAAGTCAAGATTTGTGATAGCAAGGCAATGAATATTCCTAACGTCTTTACAGTCACACTTTCATGCAGTTTTGAAGCATTCTTGGGATTCTTGTAGAGGGAGAGATGTACCACTCACCTGAGCCTAGAGGCTTTGTAACTGCCAGTATTCACTGCATTTTTGTATCTGACTAGCATCCAAGCACGATGTATGTATGCATGCTAAGTACTAATAACTTAGGCAATCAAACACTTAATCATACATTGCATAAAAAAGTCAATTCTACCACTTGTGCCAAAATGTCCAGCAACTGTAAAACTCCTTTCAGATGCCTGATTTGAAAAAAGGAACCTTCAACATGACTCTAACGTCAAACTGAGATAAAATTAATTCTGATTTAAAAGTAGAGTGGAGGAGAATCATTGAAAGCAGTAAGGAAGATTATCAGTGAAGACGCACCAGGAAAGAGACGACTCAGGCAGAGTGCGCACTTGCCTCCGTAGACGGAAGTAGCATGTGGTAAAGCCATAACACCAGGAAAGGCACGAGCCAGTAAACTCAAGTGCTGGAAGTTTAAGGCGAAAAATATACTAATTTATTAGTCAAACAAACAATGCAAGCTTTCGAAAGCGTGATGCAATTAAAAGCTCAGATATAGCAGTTAATCCTCATATCCTGTTTGACCACCTGGTCCTTAAAAGAATAATCATGAGGCAAAGAGAAAGCAGATAAGTAAAAATAAGCCATAATAAAGAAGCGTACATCATCAGATACGCTAATATTAATCCCATCACCAAGGACCTCCCAGCTGCTTTCCGACAAGGAGTCGCCATTACTCTACAACAAGGCAAGAAAATACGGGATGATTGTACCTGAGCCCCAACGACAAATCTAAAAGATAGGCAGTGACATACATTTGACTGATCATCCTGGTCTTCAATAGTAGATTCTTCGTGGTTGTAAGGAGGGCAATCAACGCAAAGCCAGTGTGCAGACTCCACATTGGTAAGGATGTTGGATTCCGGGAGAAAAGTGGCCATTTCGTTCTAGCTTAACAAACAGTTTAATCTGATAAAGTAACAAAGTGCTCGCCAAGTTTGTCCACTGACTTCGTACAAATGATGCGACGAGTGATTAAAAAATTGCACAAAATGGTCCCAAAAAGCAATGACCTCGATCCTCTAAAGCCAAGTTATCCAGCAAAATTAGCATAAAATCTCAATTTTCAAGCAGAGCGGAAGTAACATGAAATGAGAGTAGTTAATGAAGATACCGGTTAGCATGCGAAAAAGGGTGCTGGTTAGAAATTGTCATTCTAGGAAATATGCAGCAGCCCACCACCTAAGGCAGCATCACAAGCTCGTTAAATCAATCCCAGGCTAGAGAGGGGAGCTTTCGTTCCCTTATGGGCTACCTTGACGGGAATCATCGACACAGTAATCGTCAGGAGCTATAACCTTAAAATCACGAATAAAGAATTGCTTAAACCACTATGACTTTATTCTAATTCAATACTTAAATTATTAATTATAATTTATCACGGCCGTACTTAATCAAGTGCTGTACAATTCCGATATAAGAATTAAGGCCGAATCCTATGAGTTAACCTGCTTCCTGGACTTTTGAATGACTACCCCACCGAACACCCACCCAGTCTGCAGTGCGCAAGATTTGACAAAGGGTCTTTTGCAATCTTCCTACCCTGCACGTCGCAGCAACCCGCCAGACGGTAAACACTCCGCCCAGTCGGGACTAATTCCCCGAGCCTTCACCAAACAGCTTCAACTCCACCCAGTCAAAAGAAGGAAATTAACTCCCACGGTGGTGGTACAGTGCTATAAGTTTTCATACCACTATTAACGAATAACTCCACAGTTCCATTACAAATCAGTAAGGATATGGTGGTCTTGCTTGTCTCCAATATTGCGGTCCTGAAGATCTGGATAACGGTGGTTCATGGCCATAATCAGGCGGGTCGTACCGCGAAGTGGGTTCCATATAGTATCCAGTAGGTCGCTGCTGGGAACCACTTTGAACACCGTAATTTTGAGAAACGTAAGTCTCCTCATTCGGCCACGGGTAATTCCTTTTCGTGCAGTGAACACCAGCACGCATGCAGTGAGGGAATGGAGGACTTCTTGACAAAAAAAAAGTACGGCCGTCAAAGTAAAATAAAGGGCTAGTTTCACGTTAATGAGCAAATTTCCTGGCATAAAATATGGATTATAAGTCTGAAAAACGGTTCAACAGCAGAATGAGCGAAATAATGAGACTGGAAAACAGAGAGATTAATACAAAGTTCAATGCACTCACAAAGCGCACCAGTCACGTCAATTGCTCATTTTTATTCACAGAAAAATCAAAACAAACAGAAAATGCGTACGTGCTGTTGGAAGCGTAGTCATCATCTTGCCATTCACGATAACCGAAGCCAAAGCCTTGGCTCTCGTTTTGGTCATACCTGACGGCTCGCATTTCAGGCGACACAAATGGTCGTCGAGAGTTGATAGGGAACGAGTGATTTGGGTCGGCGTTGAAGCGAACGCTAGTTAGTTGTGTTGTTTCGTCCAGGGTTGTCACTCCATGCAGAGCGGTTTGACGACACAGTTCCCTGGTGAGCTCAATGACACTACTGTCCTCAGACGAGAGGTCCTCCAAGCAGGCAGGTTGCAGGCATATTCGTACGAGGAGAGCCTCTAGTGCCGGTCTCAACGCGAATATCCGGGCCGCAGTGCTGTATCGCATGCGGAATGGCAGCCAGTCATCCAGTAACACCACACCCTCCTCCTCCTCCGTTGACGCCACTCTCCGTTCATCAGATCTCACACCCTCCACATCAGTTGGTTTCGGTTTCCAAATGCCGCGTCGACAACCAAATAGTAGCAACTGGATGGGCGTAATCATTGTCAGAGTCTTGCAACTTATAGCCTGCGTCCGAATCTGTCCAGCCAATGAAAAATAAGCACCGTTGAATACACATTGGTGCAAAAGATCTTGATTTCGCAAGGGCGTACCTTTTCGGTGAAAGCGAAGAGTGGAAAGGCGAACGAAGGGTTTTTGGTACAATTGACAGAACCTTTGTGTACGAGTGCGCATTTACCCTCAGCCGTGAGAAGTTTGCGTTTTTCAACATGATAGGCTATGTTGGGATAGAGACCGTTGGTCAACATGGCTGCAACGTAATCAAAAGTTGAGCAGTTCCGGTCGTTGAAGCTTATAAGGCGATTGGAGAGCACTGACTCAGGAAATCCCAAACCAACAAGGATGTTGCGAATCTGAGAAATGGAATGGCACAGAATTGATTTGATTTTGATTTGGTAAAATGATTAAAAAAAACCATAGTCAAGTATCTGTTCGGAAGAGGTATCAATTCTGCGATTTCAACTCACTTATGCTTATTGAATTCTTTGTGCAACTTAAATATTACAAAGATTGAGGAAACGTTAAGCGTCATAAGTCTCGACCAGACTTCTAAAGTTATGGTAAGAACCAATGAAGCGCATGATCAAAACCGTTATTGCGACGATTTGATACAGATGATCCTTGAACTCAATAAAGCCACTTGCCTGATTGGCGGCCTCATCAATGATCCGCAAGGAAAAGGCATTGAGTTCTCTGACGTCACAGAAATAGTTTGCTGCTTGATCACCGTCCTGGGCGCGCTTGGTCGACCAAGCCTGAAAGGCGTTTAGCATTGCCAGGTGGTCGGAATTGGTGGCCGCAGCGAAACGAATTTGCTCCCACGAGAGGCGCCGACGGTCTGGCGGCATAGCGAGAACGTCGCAGCCGAAGGAAGAATGAGCTGCAACTAGCGCCATCGCGCCGCCCAGTCCAAAGGCACAAGAGAATACCAGCATCCTACCCAACCGCGGTTCGATCGGTAGACGTGCTAGGATGTGGCCCAGTGGTGTCAACTCATCGTTCGAGTCCAAAGCCTTCATCTCTACAGAAAAGCAGGTCCACATGTTTGATCCTATTACATTATTTAAATAATGCGATTCGTAGGTGTCTCAATTGAAGGAAAAGTAAGAAAACCAATTCGTTACGATGACATTATTGCAAAGCTGATTTTGAAGGGAATGATCATAAGAAAGCAAAAAAAACCTTTTAGAGCTCTGCTATCTCACCACGGAGGGTGTACTCTGCCTCAATGACAGCATCGAGAGGAGGAGATTGGAGGGCCTTTCGAAGAAAGGTCTGGATGTCCCCAAGTCGAAGGAGCTTGATCATGAGAGCCAGTTCGTGGAGGGGAGTGCGAAGGATCTCCGGGGTGGCGTATTGCTCTAACCGACTCAACCGCGCCTGGCTGCAAAGATGATATGCGAATCCTGGACGCACTCGACCCGCTCGACCTCGTCGCTGCTCCAGGTTAGTAAGGCTCGCCCACATCGTGGAGTAGCTGGTCAGGTTATTTCGTGCCGTGAACATTTTCACTCGAGCAAGACATGTGTCAATGACAAAAACCACGTCGTTAATGGTGATTGAAGACTCGGCTATATTTGTTGAGAGGACAATCTGCGCATGAAACAAAATGAGAGGGAATAAGACTGCATGACAGCTAAGCTGATTGTAAGTTAAGGTTCAAGCATATTCAACAGCCGAGCAATCATGGTACACCAAAAAATTAACGCAATGAGTTTACTTTATTAATCTCGCCTGGGTGCAAAAGACGGCAATTCCTGGGATGATCAAGTGCCACTATTTTGCCGACTTCATACTTTCAGATCAAGGAATGCAACTGAAGACGGGTAGTACTTACAAATTAGGTGTTATAAGTCAAATTCACACGCACACTGAAGAAATAAAGATGACAAATGTTTTTTCAAGGACTCATTGGTAAGAGACTGCAAGCTTTAGTTTTTTTTGTGCTACATGAAAACAGTCGGCAATGACAAGTATGCGATTAAAATCCACCGGAACGTACTTTCCGAACACCAGTAGGTGCAGGCCGAAAAACGAGTCTTTGATCTTCCCTGGGCACCTGTGAGTGGAGCGGCAAGATTAGAAATTCGTTTGGATTACTGAAGCGAGGGTGTGTCTGAAGATACTTCCTCAACATGCTTATTGTGTTCCAACCGGGCAGGAATACTAAGACTGCTCCATCAATGTCCATTCTGCATATGTACCTAAAGTTAAGCAAACTTTCTAACGAATGCGTTTCTCAACGGAGTGAAGTAATAATGCAGACAGTAAGTAAATGAAAGCGCACTCGAGCAGGCTACCGATCAAAGTGAAGGGAACTTCTTTCTCCGGAATCTGGCGCATGCGTTCGGCTACCGAGGGAGGATACCCTGGAGGGCAAATTAGGTTGCAGTTCTCCTCCATCTCCACATTCAATCCTTCTTCCAATCGCGGTTTTTTATTCTTCTTCTCATTGTAATTCGGTGGTGGGACGTAATTTGTTATATTGATGCAATCCTCTAGGTAGAAACCTAAAACAGTATCAATTGGTCTACCGATTGAATGGAGATGAGCATACCTACACAGACTGTTACAAGGGCGTATTTCAAATACAATCAATACAATACAATCAAGCTATAATATTGAAACAACTACTCAGAAGTTGATACGCTAACCACCAGGCAGCTCTTAATTAAGTATGACTGGGAGGAATAAAGGTCTAGCATGCCAAAGTCTACCTTATGTGAGCCATTTTCATGTTAGGTTTCAACTTCTCCGAGAATTGCCTGTTAACTTAGCATCAGAAAATAAGGTGTGTTATGTAAATGCCCTACAGGAAACCGGATATGTCCTTCCTTCGAGTTCGAAAGTGGCGGTATTATCAAAGTATTCCGTGAAGGTGGTAGTGTCGATCGTGGCGGACATGAGGATGACGCGAAGAGTGGGATTGACTCGGACCAAGTCGCGCATGAGAATCATCACAAAATCTGTGTTTACATCACGCTCGTGGATTTCGTCAATGATGATATGCGAGATTCCACGAATGCCCGCCTCCATTTTGCGACAGAGAGTGCCGATAGTACAGAAAAGGATGGACCCGTAGGGCCGAGGCAAAATAGTTTCAAATCGCACCGAGTAGCCCACTGAGACGCCTACGGCCTCACAACGTTCGCTCGCCACCCGCTCTGCCAATGAGATGGCACAGATGCGACGCGGCTGTGTAACCAACACCGAACACTCTGCGCCCCTGCCAGATGCTAAATAGGAATCCAGTATGAACTGAGGTACCTACACAAGGAAACAGCACAAATACGACTTGTAAACATGACGCAAATGCGCCAGTTCCCCAAATTTTACTAGCTGATGTTAGACGCACTAACCTGTGTAGTCTTGCCGCATCCAGTTTCCCCTTTAATCAGAGTGACCTGGTTTCTTGTGATGGTATCAAGGATTTGATGGCTGAAAGCGGCTACAGGCAAAGAATTACGTTCCTCCCTTATTATATCGTATACTCGGCTGTTGACGCGACGTTCGTATTGCTCTTTGTAGGCCTGACTTATCTGAGCTAAAGACATCAAGGCCTAGAAAGGAAGGGTAATGAATGCAATGCACCAGACGAAAAAGTATTATATTTATGGAAACTACTACAAAAGTAGACCTGACTGAGGACTGCACTAGCGGATGCACGCACCTCAGGTCCCTCGTCAATGTTACATGCGGTCCAAGGATTCCAATTTTCAATGGGTGGGCACCACGAAACCAACTGGGCTGACTGACGAGGACGTGGTTCAAAATCAGCAACCTGATAATGCAGGATCATATTGTGCCCTTCTTCACGCCTATCAACATCGGTCCTACCTAATCTCAGGGAGGATACAGGTGGCGAAAGGTTGGGCAAGAGATGAAGTCGTTCCAACAGTGCATTAAGACGGTTCTCGAGATCTGGATTCAATCTCACTGTGAGAGGCGGCAACTAAAGTGTTGAATAATATTAAAATAGCAAGCAAAATTTGCCGACCGTTAAAGAAATACAGATGTTATTACTACCTACGCCTGAAAATGGGATTGCTTTCCTTTCGAGTTTAAAGCCTATGACAAGTTTTGAGAGGCAACAACTTACTTCGTCAGAACGCTTCTTTTTTCGTTCTCCGCAGTAAGCCTCAATTTCACCTACATGAAATAGCTGTCGTACAAGGGAAAGGCAGCAGGCTCGAGACGCCATCATTTTATTTGATCCGTTTTCACGAGCATAAAGAGTTTTATTCGCACGTTTCGCCCAAACAGTCGCCTCAGCCAGGAAACTCCTAGAGGACAAGCAATAAGGACAAAAGCAGACTTTGTCTTGGGAAGAGGGTAGCTTCATAGAACACCTGCACGAGATCATACGTGATACTGCACTGAGAATAAAACAGGGCTTACTTGAATCGCAAAACAGTAAATTTTGACTGAAACCAATCGGCTGATGAAGCTGAAATAGAATAATGATGAATGTTATCCATCGGCCCGACGGCTTTCACGCATGGAATGTCTCTAAGACACAAATATAACTTTTGGAAAAAGCATTCCATGCGAAAAGCATAAGCGCCGGGCTGATGGTGAAGCTAGCTCTTTTGCTGATGATTCCCCAGGGGGCTGAGTGATGAAAAACATTCAGCCCACTGAAGAATGCAAGTTTACTTCGGGAGTAACTTGTAGACAGAGACACTAGGTTATGTTAAATCAGCTTCACAAAAAATAACAGAACCTACTTATTATGATCAGGCCCAATGGATGTGTATTTTATCTGGACCGGTGGTTGACGCGAAGCCTGTAAATATTCATTCAGCCGAGCTTTTGAGTTTTCCATTGACCATCCACCGTGAATGTCGGCTGTGAGGTCGACCTCTTCCGCCTGGACTTAAACTATATTTGCACAATCAGAAAACATACCTCCTCAAGTTTTATCCTATCCATTATTCTATTTATGTAAGAGTCATTAGAACCCGACCCAGACACGTTGGCCTCAGAAAGTTGTAAATGAGGCAGGTGATAAGATGAGTGCACAACAGGAGCAGAAGACGTAGATGGGCACATTGTGGCACAATGCCTATCTTCATCTTTAACGTGTTTGTATTCGTCAGCCTAAATTGTAAGTATTAGGCTAAAACTTACTCTTATAGTGGGAACATCCGATGGCTTCAGGTAGCCTTCACGAACAAGAAAATTAGCAAAGTCACGCGCTGCATTGGTTTGGGCATCCTTTTTGTTAACCGAATTGCCCATACCAACGTAGGCGAAGCCATCCACACGAAGCTAAAATTAGTAAAAAGGCTAAGCAAAAAACAACAACGACGAACCTCACATATAAATCGCGAACGACCACGTCCTACTGAGCGCTGCTGAAAGGTATATTCGGGAACTTTGCGTTGTGTTTTATGCAACCATGTATAGACAAAAGCCTTGATTCCTTCTGCATCACTCATATTACCTGAGAAATTAAAAGAGCTCATAAGCGAGATAGTAGGAAGGAGCCCACAAATAAATTGACGTCAAAACATCCTGTCGATTGCAGTATAGTAGGTACACTCATAGTTATTAATGTGCTACTGAAAA